TCCTGCCTCAGCCCCCTAAGTAGCTGAGATGGCAGGCGCATGCCACCATGCCTGGGTAATATTTTTTAAATTTTTAGTAAAGCCAGGCCTTGTTGTTGCCCAGGGTGATCTTGAACTCCTAGGCTCAAGTGATCTTCCCACCTCAGCTTCCCTAAGTGCTGAGATTGTAAGTGTGAGCCATCGTGCCTGGGTCAGGTTGTTTCTAAAACCTCCGTTCTCTAAAACTGCTGCTCATCCTGTCCTGGAACATTATTTTCAAGTATTTATCCCTCTCTTCTCTCTATTATTGAGGGGGCACCTCCTTTATTATTGAGGAGGTAATTTTATAAAGGCGTGTTCCTGCTTTGGGTGCCAGAAACTAGCTGTTGTCATTGTGATAAAAATGGAAACCCAGGTCTCTCCAGGAAGCCACCTGGATACTCACTCGGGAGGAGGCAGAATGTGGGCTGCAGAGCTGGTAACAACCCCGGGTCTGCTGGCTGTGGCCGGCCTGCAGATCCTGAATCCATAGGTGTTTGTCCGTTTGTCCTCTCATTGTGTTGAACTACACATCTGTTCATCATGTGGAATGATTAAGGTGATCATCCCTTTACACCAGGCAGGGTTTCAGGAAGAAACAGTCATGCTCTCAAACAGGGCCGTTGAGAGAGTTTAATAAACGAGCTGCTTACAAAGGCTCAGCCAGGACTCAAGGAAACCATAACAAGGGAGAAGGGGCCCAGGCTAGCAGCAGTGGGAGCCACTGTTACGGGGTGCTGCACCTGCAGGAGAGGGCCAGCCAACGTGTCCCTTTAGTCAAGGGATGTTGCCAGCCCAAGGCAGCACCATGGGGAGGGATACAGGGGGTAAATCCTCCTGCCTGCTGCTCCTGTGCCAAGGTCTGACGCTCTCCCCACCTGAAACCCTCTTTCCCAGCCTGGACCGCTCCTCTTCAGCCTGAAACCCTCTTTCCCAGCCTGGACCGCTCCTCGGCAGCCTGAAACCCTCTTTCCCAGCCTGGACCGCTCCTCGGCAGCCTGAAACCCTCTTTCCCAGCCTGGACCGCTCCTCTTCAGCCTGAAACCCTCTTTCCCAGCCTGGACCGCTCCTCTTCAGCCTGAAACCCTCTTTCCCAGCCTGGACCGCTCTCTTCAGCCTGAAACCCTCTGTCCCAGCCTGGACCGCTCCTCGGCAGCCTGAAACCCTCTTTCCCAGCCTGGACCGCTCCTCGGCAGCCTGAAACCCTCTTTCCCAGCCTGGACCGCTCCTCTTCAGCCTGAAACCCTCTTTCCCAGCCTGGACCGCTCCTCTTCAGCCTGAAACCCTCTTTCCCAGCCTGGACCGCTCCTCGGCAGCCTGAAACCCTCTTTCCCAGCCTGGACCACTCCTCGTCAGCCTGAAACCCTCTTTCCCAGCCTGGACCGCTCCTCGACAGCCTGAAACCCTCTTTCCCAGCCTGGACCGCTCCTCGGCAGCCTTTGAGTCTCAAGCAACACGTCCTCAGCAGATGGGCACTGCATCCCCATATGGATGAAGACTGTTGTTATGAGAAACTGCAGTGTTGGTGAAGGCAGGGGGCATGGCGGGCATTCTCTAAAGCTGATGGCGGAGTTGAAAATCATCCCCACCTTTCTCAAGAGCAGCTTGGCAATACAGGTCCGAATTTCGAGCGTGCGGACTCTTTACGGAACAGCACGTGTAGGAGTTTGTCCTGAGCAAATACCCTCAGATTTGATGGAAAAGTCCTGTATGCAGAGATGTTTATCAAATGCTGTCAGTAATACCAAAATTAAGTATACTAAACAAATAGATGACAACCAAAATGTCCGTTTGTCCCGTCAGGAGACATTTGATTCTGAAGTCGATGGTCCATCTGTACCATGAAATACTATGCCATTAGCTCTAGCCCATGGAAAAAGGAGCGTAATACAGACTGCGTGCAAAGCATTGCATAGGACGACGTGATTCCATTTTTGTGGAAGCTGCTGCCTCAAGCCACAGTCACTGCTGGCTGAGGAACACCCTCCCATCCCCTTCCATGCAGCCCTGGTCTAAACTGGAAAAATTCTGCCAACCGAGAGGAATCCTTATTTAGTGGTGTTGTCAACGTGGCTTTTCAATGGCGCATTTATTCTCCACTCTCCACTTCAGCCAGGAAAGGGTGGCGGGGGCAGCGGGGAGAAGAAAAAGAAAAAGCTGAGTGTTTGTGTGAGCATTTTGGAGACTGAGCTCAACAAGGCAGGTGTGTTGTGCCGGTTCCTTCAAGACCGCAGGAGCAAAAGAAGCAGTGAGAGCGCGGATTAAATGGTGCCAAGTATTTGAAGCTCCGTAAGCCCCAGCTGCAGAAACCCAGAGGTCAGAGTGCTTAAGGGTGCATAAAATGTGGATTTTTCCATAATTATTTAAATATGTGTTAATGAGTGCTCAGAACACAGTCAGAGTATGTCCATTAAAGGATTAAAAATAAAGGGAAGTGGAAAAGGAATAGCTCGAACAGGAGAAAAAGCCCTCGTTTGAAGGTCAAAATTCTCTCAAATTTCTTGTTGGCTCTAGTTCTGCCACTCAGGGCAAGTCACCCATCCTCACTGGGTCTTCACTTTCTCATCTGAAATTGAACCATGGGTGGGATAGATTGATCAATGCCCTCAGCATAAAACCCCTTGTCCATGAAAACCTGCTCATCTTCTGTTTGAATTGAATGAGGAAACAAGAATTTTCCAAGGCAAGGGAGCTTGCAAAAGGACTGTGAAGTGTCTTACGCTTTCTCAAATCTCTAAGCAGAGGAAGGACACTGTTTTGTAACCAGCAGACTCCAAGATACAAATGAACCACTGAGAAAACCCAGAAGAATCTGATGTGGGGGGAGATTTCAAATCTGACCTGCGCCATTAACCCCTGTGGTCCTCTCATCCACACTGCCCAGAAGCCCATCAAACTGTCAGCCCAGCCTGGAGTCCCTGGTTAAGGAGCGAGGCATTTACACCATTTGCTAGGAGTGCAGGAAATATAGGAATGACGTTTCCATCATTTTTCTTCCCCAAGCAAGAAAAGGGCAGCAGCAGCGAGAAAGCAAGCAAGCAACCCAGTCTGAGGCTTGGCTGCCTCCCATGCCTTTGACACCTAGGCTTTCATTGGAACGGCTACTTCCAAAATAAAGAAAGTAGTGATTTCAGGGTATACTTGGCCTCCGTTTTTGAGGATGTTTTGGGCCTTTCATCTCCTCTGAAGGCGAGTCACCTAATTATGCCCCTTTCATCCTTGTGTTGCTCAGGGAGAGCACGCCAGTCTGCTCTACGGCCATTGATTACGACTGAGGGCTTTCCACGTTCCAGCTGCTGCCGAGAGCTGGGTATTTGTGAATACCTGAATAAACTCCTTTAATCCAAAAACAAACTCCTCCTGAAAGAAACGGCCTGAAAAGGTCTTTCATAGAGTGTTTTCCAACTTGCCGGTTCATGGTTTCTTTGGATTTCACTGTGCTTCCTGAACTAATGGTCTCTGAATGCATTCCCAACTGTGGCTTCTGGTCTACCGAGGTCCCCAGCATTAAAAGAGAAGAAGGAAAAAAGTAACACAGCAGATGCTTATAGGAGCTGCCAGGACTGGATGGGTTGAAACTGAAAGGAAATACATGTGGGTGAGTGTTATGTTGTTTCTACAATTTTTATAAGAAATGCTTCTCCGGGTAATGCTTTGAAAACAAAGTTACAATCACGCAGGACAACAGGTGGGGCGTGGCTTCTGCTAGATTGAGAGCAGATTGTTTGAATTAGCACTGGGAGTCCGTAATGACGCTATTCTAATCGATACGTTTGCTTTAAGATTTACCACTTTCATTGGAAAAAAAAATTCCATGTTATTGAGATTCCACTGGGAGCACTAAAAGAGAACAGAATTGACTGGAGAGCTTCCCAGAGGGCAGGTCTGTTCAGATTGGAGCCCTGGAGTTGGAGTTGTCAGCTTCTAGGGTGAGAAATGGCACATTCTCTTACCGGCCTTGTAAACCGTCCGCAGCTCAGTATTCTCCTGCTTTGCCTCCGTATCCTGGTGTGGGTCTGAGTCTCTATTCCGTTCTATTGACATGTGTCTACCCTTTCACCATCATCAGTCTACTTGATTACTGTAGCTACGTAGCTACGCTTGACGTAGGGGAGACTGATTCTTCTCACTTTATTCTTCTTTTTTCAAAATTATTTGAACCCTCCTACTTTCTTTCCATTTTCAAATAAATTTTAGAATAACCCTATCAGTCAAAAAAATTCTGCTGTTATTTTGATAGAAATTGCATTGAACTTGTATATCAGTTTGAAGAAAACTGAGATCTTTACTATGCTGAGCCTTTCAATCCAGGAATGCAGTATATCACTCCATGCATTAAGATCTTTGATTTCCTTCATCAACATTGCATATTTTTCAGCATACAAGTTTCATGTTTCGTTACATTTATACATATTTCAAGCAATTGTAAATGGTGTTGTATTTTTAATTTTGGTGTTTATCATTCTGGCTAGAATCTATAGCACTCCATTGAATAAGAGTGGGGAGAGCGGGCCGGGTGCGGTGGCTCAAGCCTGTAATCCCAGCACTTTGGGAGGCCGAGGCGGGTGGATCGCGAGGTCAAGAGATCAAGACCATCCTGGTCAACATGGTGAAACCCCGTCTCTACTAAAAATACAAAAAATTAGCTGGGCATGGTGGCGTGTGCCTGTAATCCCAGCTATTCAGGAGGCTGAGGCAGGAGTATTGCCTGAACCCAGGAGGTGGAGGTTGTGGTGAGCCGAGATCGCGCCACTGCACTCCAGCCTGGGTAGCAAGAGCGAAACTCCATCTCAAAAAAAAAAAAAAAAAAAAGAGTGGGGAGAGTGGATCCTTGCTGCCTGTGAAATTTTAGGGTGAAAACATTTGGTCTTCCACGACTAACTATAGTATCATCTGTAGCTTTTTGTAGATGCACTTTGTCAAGTCAGGAAGTTTCTCTCCTCTTTCTATTTTTCTGAGTTTTTTTTTTTTTAAAGAACAAATTATTTTTTTTTCTACAAATTATTTTATTAGAACGTCAAACTCAAAAGGAACTACCAGGAACATGCCTGAAAATGCTATATACGATTTATGCTTGACGTGACACCTGCTGTCATTGCATCCAGAATATGAACAAAAGAAAAGGAAGTGGAGGTGGGCAGGGACAGCACCAGCCCTGGCTAGCCAGACCTCAGGCCCACAAACCTGGTCCCCACAAACAGGATCCCTACAATGTACACATTCCTAATTCACACTCAACTCTCCTTTTAGCCAGGAGTAGATGCCTCAGGACTCAATCTGAATCACTGTCCGTCTCAGCTTCTTTCACATCCACACTGAATTTGTATTCCTGGTCACATCCCATGTAAGCATCACTCATGAAATACAGAGTATAGTTGTGGGCACCAGTGGCTGGGGCCACAAAGTCCAACTTCACCTTGGCCTTCTGCTGCAGGGTCAGCCTCTTGATGGAGATGAGGCTATTGGACTTGGCATCTCCAATCACCACCCACCAGCCTTCTTCACGTTTCTGTGGGAAGAGAGGCGCAATGACAGGGCCTGTGACTTCCTCCTCTCGCTCCAGCTGCACCAGCACCACCACCGGCCCGCCACTGCGGATGCTGTCCTTATCCACCACCTCATAAGACAGTTCAATATTAGGGTAGCGGTTACAAAAGCGGGCCACATCTGCAATCTGGCTGTCAGTCAGCTGAAGCAATGCATTCCGTTCTTCATCCTCCATCTCCATGATGTCGAAAACACTCTCTATTCCCTTGTCGGTGCAATGTTTGATATGCTCAGAGGTGAAGTGTGGCAGCTGCTTCATGTATGAGTCCTTGGACCACATGGCTTGGGTGACCATCTGGGCCAGTTCCATAGCTGCCAGAGCAGGGCTGAGCCACCCATTGCTGGAGAGGACATCCACGCAAGCCTGAATGAGCCGGATTGCCTTACTAAGGATTCCCTCCGTATCTGACTGCAGCTCAGCACTCAGCTGCATGCGGGATAGGTGAGCCTGCAGGAGCAGGTTGGTCTTGACATGGGGATCATTGAACTTAGGGTTATTCAGCTTGTGGGGGACCTTCTGAGCCAACTGCCTCAGGAGGTTGTCTTCATGGTGCCGGATGGGAATGTTCTCATACTCTGCCGCGTTGGAGATGATCTCAATGAGCCCTCGCACCTTGGTCTTGGCATTGAGGGACATGCTGAAGAGCTCAATGGTGGTGTAGTTGATGTAATAGTAGGCAGCAATCATGCCCAGGTTCAGAGGCGCCACATCCATCTCGTCCTCAATGCTGATGCATTTGGACTGCTCCAGGTCACTCAGGGTCTGCTCCACCAGCTCTGACAAGTGGTCGGACAAGTGACGATGGGAGATGCCTATGGAGGTGAAAGGTCAGTGGGATCAATTCAAGGGGTGTTGAATTTCATCAATGCTTTTTTGCATTGATTAATGTGCATATGGGATTTTTCTTCCTTAACTTGTCAATCAGGTGGATTATGTTGATTGATTTTTTTCAGTATTAAAATATGCCTGTATCCTTGGAATTAACCCTACTTGGTTATGGTATATAATTCTTCTTATATGCTACTCAATTCTGTTTGCTGATATATATTCAATAAGTTTTGCATCTGTATTCACGGGGAATATTAGACTACAGTTTTATTGCCTTTGGTTTTGATATTATGGTGATACTGGCTTAACAGAATGAACTGGAAAATGTTTCCATCTCATTTGTTTCTCAGAAGAAACTGTATAAAATTGGTGTTAATTCTTGTTTAAATATTTGGTTGAATTCTCCAGTAAAGCCATATGAACAAGGAGATTTCTGGTAATTTAAAAATTGTTAATTTAATTTTTAAAATACTTACAGGACTAGTCAAATTATCTATTTCATACTGCGTGTGTTGTGATTGTGTTTTACAAAATTAGGGGGATGTCCTTCATTTCTTGTTATATCAGAGTTTTTTTAAAATTAAGAATGAATGTTGGGTTTGGTCAGATGCTTTTTCTGCCACTGTTAGATTATCATAATTTTCTTTTTTCTTTTTTTTTTTTGAGTCAGAGTGTCACTCTGCCACCTAGGCTGGAGTACAGTGGCACGATCTCGGTTCACTGCAACCTCCACCTCCCAGGCTCAAGAGATCCTCCTGCATCAGCCTCCTGAGTAGCTGGGATTACAGGCATGTGCCAACATGCCTGGCTAAGTTTTGTGTTTTTAGTAGAGATAGGGTTTTGCCATGTTGGCTAGGCTGGTCTCAAACTCCTGACCTCAAGTGATCTGCCTGCCTCGGCCTCCCAAAGTGCTGGGATTCAGGCGTGAGCAACCGCGCCCGGCCATGATTTTCTCATTCAGTTTGTTACCACGATGAGTTACATTGATTGATTTTCAAATCAACTAATCTTGCATTCTGGGGACTCATTCATGATGTAGTATCCTCTTTATATATTGTTGGGTTTGATTTCCTAAAATTGTATTTAGAATTGTTGCTTCTGTGTTCATGAAGAATATCATTCTGTAGTTTTCTTATCTTGTCATTACTTTGTCTGACTTTGGTATATATAGGATAATGTTGGCTTCATTAAATGAATGGGAAGTGCTCCTTCCTTTTCAGTTTTCTGGAAAAGTTTACGTAAAGTTGGAATCGTTAGTCTTCTTAAACACTTGGTGGAATTCATCAGTGAAGCCATATAGGCCTGGAGTGTTCTTTGTGAGAAGGTTTCTAACTACAAATACAGTTACTTCCCTAGACTGTTCAGGTTTACTATTTTCTCATGAGTTAGCTTTCATAGTTTGTGTCTTTCAAGCAATTTGTCCTCTTTCCCCAACTTGTCTGTAAGATCCGCAGTGATGCCAACAATCTCATCCCTAATGATTTGGTAATTTGTGCCTTTTCTCCCCTTTCCTGATCAACCTGGTTAGATGTTTATCCATTGTATTGATCTTCTCAAAGAAGCAACTTTTGGGTTTTTCTTTTCTCTTTTCTTTTTTTTTTGAGACAGGATTTTGCTCTTGTCACCTAGGCTAGAGTGCAATGGTGCAATCTCAGCTCACTCCAATCTCTGCCTCCTGGGTTCAAGTAATTCTCCTGCCTTATCCTCCTAAGTAGCTGGAATTATAGGCATCCGCCACCACACCTGGCTAATTTTTTGTATTTTTAGTAGAGACAGGGTTTCACCATGTTGGCCAAGCTGGTCTCGAACTGTTAACCTCAAGTGATCCACCTGCCTCGGCCTCCCAAAGTCCTGGGATTACATGTGTGATCCTCTGCACCTGGCGCATTGGTTTTCTCTAGTGTGTTCTTGATCAGAATCTCCCTACAAAAGAAGGACAGTTGCTCCTCCTCTACTCTTACCTAAGAAATTCCCTAAGAGAATTAGCTCACTTGAACCTTGTCCAAGGCTAACCTTCAAAATAAATCCACCTACTAACTCTCGATCTTCTCAAAACTCTCAGTCCGGTACCACAGAGTTTCATGTCACAGATACTTTTTTTTGAAGGTGAGCATTCTGATGACATACTGCAGAGAAATCACATGTGTAGCTTTTGAAATATTCCGCCCCTTCAGTGACAGGGATGTGGTAAGATGGGATGCTCATTTAGTGACAGGGATATTCATGACCCGGCTCTTCTTTTTGCTAACATGTCAGCTGGAACAAGTGACTAACCATCTGTAAGCCTCAGCTTTCTTCTCTCCCAACTGGGAATAATAATAGCGTTGTTGAAGAACCCATGGCGATGCTGAGTGCCAGCGCTCAGCACAGAACCTGGACATGGGAAGCGTTCCACGAGCAGCAGCTATTAAAATATGACAGCAAGGTTATGGTCTGGGACTCCGCTCCCTTTACTACTGGAAAGGAAGGATTTATGGTCTTCCTTTTCTTCTGTTGATGTTGGAGCCAACATTTATTGGTTGTAAATGTTAAAAATATAAACGTGTGGTGGAAATCCACAGACTGTGCATTTCACCCCATTATGGATGAGTCTACAGTCACACCTGGTCAAGCACCAAGGTTTATATTTCCAGCACCCAAAATACACTTCAGTTATAACAAGTATTTCTTCAGGAAGTTTGCCAACTCTGCGGCCATGTCTCAAAGAATATGGATCGCGGGGATTTGCCCAAACGGGCCGTCCCGGGTGTGCAGCTTTATTCACAGAGCCTGCGAGGACCAGCCCCGGGGGCGAGGGTCCAGCCGGCCCAGTTGTGGTGAGGTAACCCCTGAGGCCATGCCAGCTGGCCTGCTCCACTCAAGAGCATCTCACGGCCCCTCAGGGAAGCAGCTGGACATGAAGCCCTGCAGGAGACAGGGAGAGTGGGAAGTGCGAGAAGCCACGGGAAGGGATGGGCTGATAAGCGTGGTGTGGGGTGGGCTGAGCTGGGGTGAACCTGAAACCCATACCACCTTCTGTGACCTTCCTGCCCCCCCACCCCCACCCCACTGTGCAGGGCGGAGCTCTGCAGCTGCATCCTGAGTGGGGCATGGCAGACAGGCTGCTGTGTGACCTCCCAGGTGGGCTAGGAGAAGCCGGGCCACCTCTGCCCAGGTCTCTTGGAACACTCACTCTGGGAGCCTCTCACTGCCTCAATAGACCTCCAATCACCCTATGATCAACATAGACAAGGGGGGGAGGCGGGGGGGGGAGACATAGAGAGAAAGGAACAGAGAGAAATGGAGAGAAAGACAAAAAGAGAACGAGAGAGGGATGAGAGAGAAGGAAGTCCTCCCTTCCTCCCTCCCTCCCTCCCTCCCTCCCTCTCTTCCTTCCCTCCTTTCTTTTTTCCTTCCCTCCTTCCTCCTTTTTTCCTTCCCTCCTTCCTTCTTTCCTTCCTTCTCTCCTTCCTCCTTTTTTCCTTCCCTCCTTCCTTCTTTCCTTCTTTCCCTCCTTCCTCCTTTTTTCCTTTCCTCCTTCCTTCTTTCCTTCCTTCCCTCCCTCCTCCTTTTTTCCTTCCCTCCTTCCTTCTTTCCTTCCTTTCCTTCCTTTTTCCTTCCCTCCTTCCTTCTTTCCTCCCTTCCCTCCTTCCTCCTTTTTCCTTCCCTCCTTCCTTTTTTCTTCCCTCCTTCCTTCTTTCCTTATTTCCCTCCTTCCTCCTTTTTTCCTTCCCTCCTTCCTTCTTTCATTCCTTCCCTCCTTCCTACTTTTTTCCTTCCCTCCTTCCTTCTTTTCTCCTTTCCTCCTTCCTTCTTTTCTTTCTTCCCTCCTTCCTTTTTTCCTTCCCTCCTTCCTTCTTTCCTTCCTTCCCTCCTTCCTCCATTTTTCTTTTCCTCCTTCCTTCTTTACTTCCTTTTCTCCTTCCTTCCCTCTTCCTCCTCCCTCTTTTTCTTCATTCATTGCTTATTCCCTGTCTCTTACCCTCCCACATAACTCACTCAAGAAAAGGAACTTGGTTTTGTTCACTGCCCTCTGCCTACAGCAGGGCCTGGCACCCCACAGATGTGCCGTGCATATATGTTAATAGATGAGCCATGTCTCCTGGGTCACGCGTGGGCAGGAGGAAGGAACAGGCACGTGTCTAGGCACTGCGGAGACTTGGGCAATGCCAGCTCTCCCTTTGAGAAGGCCCCTGCCCGTGGTGGAGGGCAGGGATGTTTGGAAGCCACTGACCTGGCTCCTGGTTGCCAGGGCCAGCCTGGTGCTGGAAGCCCTCATGCCTGAACCGGCACAAGAGAATCAAAGGTGGAGTGGCCTGCAGCCTTAGGGTAGCTAGATGGATGTTCTGGGTACATGCAGAGCGTCACCGAATCTTACTTTCTCACAGTTCTGCAGAAGTCCAAATTCAAGTGTCGCTGGGTTTGGTCCCTTCCAGGTGCTCTGGGGGCATCTGCATCTGTTCTGGGCCTCTGTCCCGGCTGCTGGTGGCCCCAGCCAACCTTGGTGCTCTCTGGCTGGTAGCTGTGTCACTCCAGGCTCCCCCTCGGTCTCCACACGGCCTGCTGTGTCCGATGTCCGCACCCTCTCCTCTGACTGTTGTAGGGATACTTTGCATTGAATTTAGGGCCCACTGTCAATCCAGGATGACCTCATCTTCACTTCACGACATCTGCAAAGCCCTGTTTCCAAATAGGGCTACATTCGTGGGTACCTGGGGTTCAGATGTGAGCAAATCTTTTTTTGGGGAAACATTTAACCCACGACAGTTGCCCTCCCGTGAAAGCAACAGGCAAAGGAAGCCCAGCAGGTGGCAGCTGGAATCCCAGATCTCTTACTTCCTGGCTGGGTGACCTGAACCTCTGAGCCTCAGTTTCTTCATCTGGAAAATGAATCAGCCCACTCCGTGGATGTGTGAATTCCGTGGGTGGTGGCAAGTAGAAAGTCACCAGTGTTAATCTTGGCCACATAGTAGGGCCTCAGTAACCGGCAATGCAGAGTTATGTTTCCCCACCAATTAGTG